GACGACTCTTATACCCAATTCGAGCACATGCACCAGCAAGAATTAATGCGGAATCAAGACGATCAGCTAGAGAGCGTCTATAGAACTGTTGGGAACCTGCGAATGCAGGCGAATGATATGAGTCGAGAACTTGAGGAGCAAGCTGTTATACTCGATGAGACAGACGCTATTGCGGAAAGAGTAGATGGCAGGTTGAGAAAAGGGATGAAGAATCTCACGGAGTTCGCAAGAGCTAATGAAGGTAACCCATTATCCTTACCCCGTTGTAATATAATAGCTAGAAGGCTAACTAACCACTTTGATCTAGATAAATACTCGAGTTGCTGCATCGCAATCTTGATATTTGTTCTTATTCTGTTGCTAGTTCTTCTCCTTATATTATGATTGAAGAGTCACGCCCTTAATTATGTGTTATCCTTCTTCTTCTTCTTGGAGTTCATTGGCGTTCAGGCTGGGGCGGGTGTGCATTTCTGATATAAAATACCTCCGATCTAATATTACTTGTAAATGTCTAATTTATACACAATTTTCCGATTTCTCCGGATATTTCCTTCCCGTTCACGAAGGCTTTTCTCAGTATGCAGTACTCTCGATCGATTCCGGGTACTTTAAATCCCCTTGTCGCCTCATCTCATCCATAACCTCCATCACTGCGATCGTTTCCTTCCATGGCATAGTTTCACACTCCAATTTCCCATCTCGAATAGACCTCGCACACCCGTCCGCTTGCCAATACATCGCCCCGCCCTCATCATTCCTCTCAACCCACTCGCCGGCGCCTCCTTCCTCCTTCCTCAAAATAACCCTATACTTCAACGGCCTATACGCCGGATGGGCAACTTGAATCTCCCCTTTCGTACCGTAAATCCTAATCGCGGGACCACCAGTTCCCTCCCCATCCACATCCTGTCCAACCCTGAAACTCGTCATCGCAATACCCGTTGAATTTTCAAACTGGCATACAACAGTAGTAGTCTCATCGCACCCAGTACCACCATATTTCTGAATATGTCCCACAACCTTGGGAGTTTTCGGGTTCTCATCCAAATGGTACAGAATCTGGAAAACCCAGGTGAGGGAGTATACCCCCAAATCTAGGAGCGCACCACCGGCAAGGTCCATATTAACCATCCTGTTCTCCGGCGGGAAGGCAGTCTCGACCTCATTTAGTAGCGAGAGATCCGCTAGTACCCGCTTGACATCTCCGATTTTTCCGGACTTGACTAATTCCCGGACCTCGATGCTCAACGGGAAGAAACGGGTCCACACGGCTTCCATGATGAATAGGTTCTTTTTCTGCGCAACCTCGAAGATGATCCTTGCCTGTTCGGCGTTGACCGTGAATGGCTTTTCGCAAAGAACATGTTTGCCGGCATTCAATGCGAGCAAAACGTGTGGGAAGTGGTGAGAATGCGGGGTCGCGACATAGATGATGTCAACATTTGGATCGCTGACAAGGGACTCGTAGGTACCATATGCGGCAGCAGTTCCCTCTGGAACACCACAGTCCGATAGAAACTTCTCAGCGCGGGAGACAGAAGAAGAAGCTCCGGCGGCAACTACAGTGTGCTTGATATCACCGGCACCCCGATTCGCCGGGTCGAGAAGAAGGTCCTTTGTGAAGACTACCAATGTGTTAGAATCGTACGTTTTCCAAGTGGACCCTTGCATTCCCATCAGGAGAGATGCGTTGGGGATGTGGTATATTGCAGCAAAGCTTCTAGCTTCTTCGAACAGTAATTGAAATTCATACCAGACGCAATCCATCCGCAACCTATAGTAATTTGGAAGCTTAGTTAGTATGTCTTTTAGCATAAACGTATGGATTTCTTGCCCAAACCTACCCAGAATACCCCACTTTAGCTCGTATGGTGAAGCCATCTTGATCAATTGAATTGCAATGAAGGGTTTCGTAAGTTATTGAAGCTCCTCGAGACTATTTGAGTATATAGTCGACTCTATCAAAAGGCCGTGACGTCAATGGCTTTAAAGTTTACAAAAACGAAGAGAGTCACTAAAATAGACCGATATCAATATCCAGAATTCAAATACCAGGTTATTATACTGAGGGAAACAGGATAATTTATATCAGTTGCTTCCCCGTTTTCCCCACAGATAACAAGTATAACTTAAGTAACTACCTGATTCATAGAACGGATTTGATTATTCAGCCTAAACCTTGTCTTGGTGCTCGCTACATGGTTTCGTCTCTCGTCTACGATCATGAGATCCGAACTACCCGACATTAATCCGAGCGCTGTATAGAATAGATGCAATGCATAGGACTCTGACCCTTGTAAGATCGTACCAAGATCCGGGGCTAATGATAGCTAGCTCCATCCCATATTCCAACATGTTCAACACACCCGCCGCCTAATATAATAGGTCTATTTAGTTGAATTCGTGAATCCTTCGGCTCGAGCCTTGCGAGATCGGCTTCATATTCCGATATATTAATAATATACAATTTACAAGTAATATATGGGTTAGTAATCATATCAATCACTCTCCCCCAAAAGTTCAAAGCCATCATCATGCCCCGTCCTCCTCGACACCCCCTCTTGTTGGTGACCTTGCATGAACCTCTCCATGAGCTTTTGCAACCTCTCATCCCTTGCTGCCGTTTCTTTCCTCTCTCGTTTCCCGCCTTGACTTTCGCTTTCATCGCCCTCGCTTGTATCGTCATCTTCCTCACCCTCACTCTCAAACTCTTCCCCAAACTCGTCCACCAGCTCACCAACCTCCTCATCCTCCTCTAGATCCGCATCATCTTCCTCCGATTCTACGATATCTATCTTATCATTATTGCCACCGCCGGTAGCTCCATCTTCCTCTCGTTCGCCCGGACTTGCAGTATACATTACCTGCTTCCTTGGCGGCAACGTTCCCGGCGCAGCTGAATCTGGTTCTTTCAATATCGCCTGGAATACCCTATCATCCATTCTCCTCCCCGCGATTAATGCCGACAACTTCCTCCTCATGATGTATTTTATTTTAAAATGACGGTTATTTGGAAACCAGCCGTCAATATTCTAACAATAAAAATTTTTAGTAACATCGCACCAACGAAATGGGGAGAGGGTGTATTGACTAACATCGCACACATCCCTAGCCTCACACTTTTCAATGTCTGCTAGTTCTGCTAACAAGGGATCTTTCAAGTCGCAAAATTGCCATATCTTTCCGTCGAGAATGATAGTTTCCCCGTCAAACAGATGTCCTGTGTTTTGACTATATTCCCCATATCCATTAGCTAGTATTCCATGAGACTCCGGCGCCAACATTCGACTATCTCACCTAGAGTCCTTCTTCGGCTTAACCGTATGCACTTTAAACGCCACAACTTGGTACTTCGCAAACTCCTTGCTCTTTCTCGGATCAACCCCAAATTTTACGTAGGTATCTCGCCACGGCCCACTCCTCCAGTAATAAGCGACGTGCGGATAAGCCCACTTCAACTGCTGCCATAAGCTACTAGGCATATTATTCATCAGCCCACGTCGAGTCCATATGGGCCTCTCCTCAAACAACTCCTCCAGTTTTTTCAGACAATCCACAAACAAAGGCGGGCCCTTTGGACGTTTCCTCATCCCCGACTGGGGGACCGTATCGGAATTCCAATTTCCGTATTGCGTCTGTGTTTGCACCCGTGCTCCGGCATTGATGAAGACGGGTTCGCCGTTTACGTCCGTGTCGACTTTGATAGCGGGGTTTTGGCGGAAACCGTAGACGAATGGGTAGTTTATGTGCGTGAACCGCGGCGGACGCATAATTTCCGCATCCGCGTCGGCGGTGATTTTGTCGGATAGTTGGAGGCGTTTGAGTGCTTGTACTATACCATCCAGGAAATGTTAGACTGGTACTATATCATTTCAATGAAAATAAATGGAAACATACGATCCAACTCCATCATATTCTCCTCTACGTTTTTCGCCCACTCGGAGTTTCGAGTATTCCACTGATAATCCGCCATATCTCTAAACCGGATCGTATGGTCTACCCAACCCACAACCTCAGACGTGAACTTCCCATCAAGACCCTTTAAAATTCCGGGAATATCCTGTTCCTGACCCGGTGCAGGTCTAGGATTCGGTCCCTTCCCTTTAGGAACCGTGATTTTGAGAAGCATAGCCCGGGTCCTCGCCGGCTTCCCTTGGATCGGAGGCGCCAATGCATCGCCAGGTCGAAACCGAAGTTCCAGGCCATTGGGCTCCGATATATTTTCTGGATTCGGTTTGAACGCCTATTCGACATGACTTAGTACAAATTCCACCTTTGTCGTCGGGAGAAAAGGAATATACCCACCTGCGCCACAGCCTTCCCACCACCTAGCATCCTAACCGCCCGGTCTGTATTATTCAATATCACAGCAGGGTGTTCCACCGCCAGCAACTTTCGGTCTTGGATTTGATACCAAGGCGCCTCGGACGGCGGAGGCCTTGGCCGATCATACTTCTCTTCGAGGGCGGACGGAGATTGGGACTGCATATCTCGGTCTATCGCAGTCTAACCCCGTGGTCTCTAGCTAGAAATCTCCTTTCAATGGCCTGGATTTGAGGCCGACGGGGTGGTATCTATATTTTGTTGCTGGCGTTGTATTTTTTTTCTATTCTACAACTACCGTCGAAGGGCAAAAAAATCTTAGGTGACGGAGCCCGGGTTCGAACTCAGCGGGCTGTTCAACCGTATGGAAATCTTCAGTCTGTTCCCCTTGCCGGGCGAAAGTGAAGCTAAGAACAGCAACCTGGTGATGCAAATTGTTAGAGGTTTGTAGTGAGAGTCGAAGTTGTACATGAAAGTAGATAGATGATTGGTGCCTGTTTCAAACGTAAATCTCGATTGCTCTGCAATACAACGCAAACCTACTGTGCCATTTTAGCTCTCCCCTATTCATAACAAAAAGCATATCCTGCTCCACCTTCCCCTCCAGTCCACAAAGCCCCTCCCCACCATCACCAACCATCTAACAAAAAAAATTGCAAAAAAATAAGTTGTAGAAGTGGAGCAGCTAGGAATCGAACCAAGGACCTTTTCTATGCGAAAGAAACGTTATACCACTAAACCACAGCCCCGATCTAATAGATGAGACTTTGACTGAGGTAAAAGCCGTCTTAACGCTTCACGCCAATTCTTTCCTCTATCAAAATTCCAACAGTTGGGATCTCCAACAACACATCTTCAAGGATCCAGCACCGATGCTTCGTATCGACCAAAATCCACTCCAAGTCTAACTACAGGACTATATACCGACTAAATCGATCTTATAACATACCCCCCCCCCCCCCCCCTGGTAAAAATTGACAATGGAGAGCATAGCCACTCCTCCGAGATCTCGGCCATTCTTCCCAACCCTCCTCCCAGAAATCATCTATTCAATCTGCGAATGCCTCAGATCAGATGACCTTTTCAACCTTCTCTTCACCTGCAAACGAATATACCCCATAGCCCACAAACAACTATGGAGATCCCTCAACTTTGAGCGATACCAAGGCTATACTCCCGAGGGGGTGGCGTATTTCTACCCAGACAAATGGAATCGGGTGGTAAACGTCGATATCGATCGAGAACGTCATCCGACTGGGATCACTGACCGGACGTTGGGACTCGGTTGGAAACATGTTAGGCATATAAACATCGGCGCCATCGTACTATTCAGGAACCGTGCCCTTTGTACGAGGTTAACGGAGAAGTTTAGGGATGGGTCCTTGATGCCGAGAAGCCTACATCTTTCCAGTCTGCGGGCCCTTGATTGGCATCCATACGGTAGGAGGAACGACTCAGGTACCTGCCCATCGGCCTCATAATATAGCTAGACAAAATTAAGCTATGACTCTCACACTAATTCAACCACCACATAGACACTCCAATACCCGACAGGGCGGCCTTCCTCGAGATCCTAAAGTCTTACTCCCTCTCAAAAAGCCCCGCATCCTTCTCAACGACCTTCGACGTAAACCACACCATCTTCGACGCCCTCGCCCTCTTCGACACCCCCAAAATTACAAAGTTATCCCTTAAAGTCTTCATAGACATCGGGGCGATTTGGAGCGACGTCCCCGAATTGATAACAGCAGTCACAAACCTCATCTCCTCCCTCCCCAGCCTCCGCAAGCTATCTTACACCTCAAGAAACATCACCACCAGTCCTCCAGACGCCTACCCCCCCTGGCCGATCGGTCGATACGCACACCTCCTATCAAACCTCCAATCCGCTTTCGACAATCTACACAACCTCGAATCCCTCAGCATATCAGGAATCTTCATGCACCCAACATTCCTCTTCACCCCCCCTCGAAAAACCAAATCCCTAAACCTGGGATTACTATCCGTAACCCCATCCTGGTTCCTAAAATTCGCCAGCTAACCCTTCACCAAAAATCTAGAATCCATCTCCCTCCCATTCGTCATCATATCCGGCTGGAACGACCCAATCCAACCCCCTCCGTTCCCAAAACCATACCCAGACGACATCACAATCACCTCAGTAACCATAACCTCCCTAAAAAGCATCACTGGCCAACTCTCCCCATCGATCCCAAACGGCCTGATCCGCCGGATCTTTGAAACAAACAAATCCCTCGACACCCCCTCCAGAGAACTAATCCTCCAAAACCAAACATCCCAAAAAACAGACCTCCACCTATCCTACATGACATCCCAAACCGAAAAACACTCGGAAGACCTAAAATCCAAATCCGCCCCGCCGTGGTGCCCCCGCCCGCCCAGGAATGATTTCTACTACCACCCCGACCAACCCGAAGAATTCGAAGAACAATTCGTCCTCAGCTACCTCGCAAGACTAACCAAACAAATGGCAGAGAAAACAGAAATGAGGGATATAGACGAAATCACAAACACAATGATCGCTAGATTAACCCTGTTCTTCTCAGACTCGAATCTGCAGTCGTTAGACGTCGCCCTATGGAAAGATTAAAAAAAAGTTTAGAGCATTTAGACCTCACAAATCCTTCATGTATTTTAAATCACCCACACGCCTCGTAAGCCAGTTAAAGATCTTTCGAAACGACTTAACCATATACGCATATAACTACAACCACCAAATTTACTAGCCGACAAAGTAAACAAAATACCAATACCGGTACCCCTTTCCTCCAAAAAGAAGCACACCTACAAAAAAAAGTCCTAACTCTCAAGCATACATATTCGTCTCATGTACCAGATCTGGCCGAAGATATATATACCGAACCATAAAATCCAACCCGAAGACATAAAAAAAAGTATATATATACCAAAAAACCCACACAGTACTCTCCAAATTCAACATAAACACACACTCCCCACTGGTTTTACATAACGATCCAACAAAAGATATATGTAATACACCCCCCCTCAGCAAGACTACCAAATTACCTAGAACTCAAGATCACAAATAAAAAGCGCGAAGACCGAGGAAGTTAACATCGAAGCGGGTTGAAGCCCCCTTTAGAAAGTATCCAAAAATTCCAAGCCATCGCAGCTAAAATACCTCCAAGCTCCTTGATCTTTAAAAAAAGACATGGAAATCGATATTCGAAAAGAGATAAAACTCAGAGATCGAGAAGAGGATGGGAGAAAAAAAAGGTGAACACATCACGCACTTCATTTCATTACTACATCTCGCTTTTGTTAAAAAAAAAAAAAAAAAAGGTTAAGAAAAGGAAAAAAGAAAATCCACCTCCTGCTCCCTCTTCCTCCAAGCATTCAAAATCCCTTCATTCATACATATGATTTCTCTTTTTTTTGACCATAAAAAAAGGGGGGAGGACCGGTTACAACAATAAGGATGTTTCAAAAAAAAGAGGTAGAAGAAGTTGTGTGTTCGTGTGTGTTTGTTTGGCGTTTCGTCGGAGTTATCAACCAAGTCCAAGAAATATAAACAACAGAAAGTAACCAAAGAAAAGGATGATACGAAGGTGAAGGCAACAGGAGGTGCTAAAACATCCGGAAGAGAGCAGGCATCGTTAAGAAGGAGAAGAAAGGGAATAAGAGGGTTGTCGAAAAGGGAGAAGAGGGAGAAGAATGGTCGCCATCCAAAAAAGAGTAACATGTCGGACTGTCGCTATGAAACAGAACTCCATGTTCAGGGCAGAGGGTACGCGGGATCGAGGACGCACAGAGCAAAAGAAAAGGGACAAAGTCAAGAAAAAAACGACAAGTACAGCATTATCAATAATAGCTGAGATGTTTGGTCCCCATAAAAAAGATTATCGCGGAGAACACGCATAAAGGGGTCACTCGTGGAAGCAGCAAGGAGGTCTAGTAGGCGGGCAATCGGACGAGGCAAAAAACAAGACAATGAAAGGACAAAGCTGGCGGTTGGCGTCAACACTCAAAGGACTACACTCCATGGGTGAGACCCTACCCGGACAGTTCCCGTTAGCCAACAATCTCCCCACCTGCAGAGATCGCTCCACCTACCATATGTGGTGCCCAAGCTCTCCCATTGGGATTGCCGTCAAGCTCCCCATTTGCATCTTCGTGTGTGATGACCATAGGCGAAGCAGGTCTCGGAAGTGGAACGCCTGGTCGGCGCTTCTTTGCATTGTCTTCCAACGCCTTCCATCGGCTTTGACGCTCTTGAGCACGGGCTTCTGCGCCTTCTTGATGAGCGGCATACTCTGCTGAGCACTCATCGAAAAGCGTAGGGTTTATTTCCATGAACAACTTCATCGCATTATAAACGAGTCCGTGAATGGTCCTATAGAAAATTAGAACGCTGTAATGTTGGATCAGAAAAGAGTGTTACATACCTATTCCAATGGCCCTTAGAGTTCTCATAGAGCGGAGCGAACATGATCGGAAGAATGACCTCGACATTGTCACTAACCAAGTTGCAGAAGTATTCATTGTTCCAGAAGTAGAGGGCTCGTTCAGCGACCTAGAGTTTGCATTAATTACGTGTTCGCATTTCAGATTTCAGGGGTCATATGAATACAGACCTGGAAGTGGGGGCTAGCAACCGACTTGGCCAGTTGGTGGAACAGCGGCTCTTGAACTTTGGCAAATTCGGCGGGGTCCATAACCTCGAAAATGTCCTCAACTTCGTTAAGGAACATAACCTCCTTTGTGCTGTTAACCTTCGGCCAATATCGTAATAATCCCAATACAACCTATCCAAAAGTCAATAAACCCTATTTTTGCACCATCGGGAGGGAAAGGAAAAACACAAACCTCCTCTGTGAGAGCGGCATCTTTCTCTAGGAACTGAACAATGCAGTACGCCAACTGCGGGTGGTACATACTCAAGCTCTTCGCCTTGTGCAGTGGCAGAAGAACTCTTGTCAAGAACAGCTTGTGTTCTTCTTTGAGAGGCAGGGCGAACCCGTTGATAATGGACCCGAGGATCTCCAACAACTCTGCTATGCCGTTGAATCGCTCAGTCTCATATACAAACTGGAAGAATACATTGTTAATGGACCGTCGGATGAAAGATCTGAGATTCAAGAATTTGCCGTATATTCTATGTAGGGTAGTCTTGAGAAAATCGCGCTCTCGGGGATCTTCGCTATCAAACAGCTCAAGGAGTTGCAAGACGAAACCATGATCAATATATTGCTTAGCGATATTGGTATTGAAGTCTTGGCTTTCGATGAACCGTAGGAAAAATTCGTAAACGACTTGAATGTGTGGCCAGGCAACTTCGAGGACGGGTTCGTCTTCCTCAGGGTCGAAAGCGTCTCCAACAGGATTGACTGGTGGCGGAATAGGTCGGAAAAGATTCTTAGCGAACATCTCGACGACCTTGGGGTACATTGGCTCCGAGATGACTTGTCTGTTGTTGGCGACATAGTCGAGCAATTCATGAAGGGCAAGTCGTTTGATTTCCTTCGATTTCATATCGGCAGCAGCATCATTAAAGTCGAATATGACGTTGCACTGATCTAGTTTCTGCAAGAATAGCTCCTGTCGACGAGCAGGGGGTACCTCTAAAGCGGGGTATTAGCATATGACCCTCAATTCGTATAATTTTCGATAGCAGCTCCCATACCATGAAATCCGTGTAGCTTCTCAAGCTCTCGTTTCTCAGAAACGTCAAAGCGAGAAGAGTGCTGCCTTTTGGGTGTCTTAACAC